AGGAATTTTTCTTCAAATGTTTGGCGTGTTCTGTTCCTGAAAGATTTACTAATATTCTGGAGATTTTTTTCAAGTTCTTCGGCCTTTTCCTTAGGGAAATTTTGTTTCTTATTTGCTGCTAAAAAATGGCGTCTGATTCAGTCAATGACTTTGATGGAACTAAATGAAAACGTGATAAATTAATGTCCGATATTTACAGGCTCCCGCTAGACGGCGTACTCGAGCGTTTCGATAGCGAATTGCTAATTATAGTCGATGAACCACTATTTAAAAAACAAAAATAATAAAAACTTAAATCGACTTTAGCGACGCAAGAACTGTGAAATTAGCACAAGCACTGTAACCTTAAGAATGGCAGCTTCCATTCGTGTGTGTACACGAAGTAGAAAAGCAATTGAACAAGGATAAAAAACAAAACTTAATACCACAGCTCATTCTTTCGACGATTATTTTGATTTTAAGGAATTTCCTTTCGTTTATATAAAAGGTGATGAAGTTTCGAATGCTCCTGCGCTTGGAGTTAACTGCAAAGAGTTTCCTGCTTTTGTTCAGTATGTGAAAAATAAACGAGATGTACTGGATGTTCACTTAAAAATGGATATTAATGGAGAAGGTGGATTTTTAATAATATGTCTTTCTGTACAATCAGATGAGTTGGACTTCGAGTGCAGCTGTAAGCGTGCTATGTATGATGAGGGGATAGCTGCAAGGAAATTTAAGCATTCTGGAGTTAAACGACTATTCATTCTAGCTGCCGTTCCGAGTGCACAAGAAAATTATGAGAATGTAGATCAACTCATTTCAACGTTGAATATAAGTCCTTTCCACGGCACAATTGCAACCGATTTGAAGTTAGCGAATATCTTAGCAGGTATAATGTCGCACAGCAGCGCATACCCATATACTTATTGTTATGCCAAGAAAGATGAGCTAAGCAGCTGTGGCGAATTGAGATCCCCCGAAAATGTTTTATCGTATTATACAAGTTGGCTGACTGAAGGAAAAGGTTCAAAAAACAAAGCGAAAGATTATTTCAATGGCATTCATCCACCGCTAATTGCAACTGTTGGAGGCAAAACATTCCTAGACATTATTCCACCGCCAGAATTACACCTTATGCTTGGTGTTGTTAGCACTGTTTTCACACATATGTTGAAAGAGTGTGAAAATGAATCGCTGACATGGACAAAAGCTTGTCATATTCAGCGCGAAATCAGACGAGGATGTCCTGGGTTTAAAGGAAATGCATGCAAAACTCTTTTGGATAAAGAAGAACTTCTGCACCAGTGTAAAAATCTAGCAATACTGAAGTACGTTAAAGTATTTGACGACTTCAAAAAAGTGGTTTCTGCATGCTTCGGAAATAATCTTGACCAAAATTTCAAAGCATGTAGAGAAGCTTTCAAAAGGAGCTACATGGACTTAAGTGTCAGCGTTACACCAAAGGTTCATGCAATTTTCTTTCACATTGAACAGTTCAGTAACAAAAATGGTGAAGGATTAGCATTTTTTGGGGAGCAGGCGATGGAGTCCGTACATTTTGATTTCTTAAAGTCTTCCTGGGAAATTAATAAGTTTGCTGCAAATCACCCGGATTATTCTAAACACTTTTCGAGAGCTGTCGGTAGATATAATGCTTCACATGTTTAAATTGATGTAATTATAATTAAATTATGTTACATTTTCATATTTTATCAGCAGTAAAATGTTTAAATAATGAAAGTTTAGTAGAATTACAACTGAAAAATCATTATTATATAATTTTTTTCCTTTCTATTGATATAAAACAACTCCAGATTTTCCAAAATATCATACTTCGTGCGCAAAAATGATCAAAATGGATTTTTTTTAAAATCTCTCCACAGATTATTTTGATTTTTTGATTTTTATTATCTGTTAACATTGTAAATTCAGAATCTCTTCTAATTTTGTAGGTGTAAGAGCATTTTATTTAACTTTGGTTAAGGCGCACCGTGAATTGCCAACACCTGATCAAAATCTTTATCTATTAATGGATTTAAAGTTTCTTGTAATAAATTTGAAAACATTTTGAGAAGTATATTATAGAAAATTTTCAGTGGTGTGCTTCAAAAATTTTTTTAAATATAACACGAAATCGAAAAAAATTAAAAAAAAAAAAAAAAAAACAGAAATAATAAAAATAGGGAAATTTGTTTATGAAGTTGCTTTATGCTAATGCTACATATCAGTGGTTGAAACATTTATTAATAAGAATATTGGCATTATTTAAAAAAGCGGTGCACAGCTTTCGTGGGTGAGGAGACACTTGCATCGCAGGTTGATTAACAAAGGTATTTAGACATACAGACGATAAATATGGTTATTATTATATAGTATAGTGTTCTGTGCTCTAAATCCTTTTCACCAATCAGAAAAATACTATTCGTCTTGATTAAAAAAATAGAAAAAACTAATACTTCAAAAAAAAAAAGTTGTAAAATACAGATTTAGTAAAATAATTATAAACATTAGATAAAAGTAATGGCTTTTTTATCACCTCACACATATAATAAAAAACTAAATAAGAAATAAATGTAATAGAAATAAATCTAATAAAAATTACCTATTCCTCAAGGATAAAAATCTATCATAGTCAGCTCATCACTAGCAGATTGGTAATAACCATGCAGTAAGCTTTAGGTGCAGTGGATAATTTCCTAAATTGCTAACTCGTTGAAAGATCTTATGTGTATTATGATGTTTAACAATGTTAAAAAGCTTTTTAAGGGAACATATCCCAAGTGAAATAAAAAAAATAATCTCACATCTATGTAATTTAAAAACAATTTTAAAAACAAACAGCGAAAATACAAATCAATTCAATAGTATATAAGGCATGTTAACTCAATTCTATGAAGGGGTACCTTTTCATAGAAGTAGGTTGACATTGACGACATTCCCGGTAAACTACTCTCCCCACAAAGTTCAAAGACAATAGCGAGGAAAACTTTTTGCATGCATAATAATTTACTTTTGTTTCATTTAAAGTTGTAATGCTCTTCTACTTGGCTAATTAAAAATAATGTTACTAAATACCTATTTCCTTCTTAAATTATGAAAAATGTCCTTTATTTATTATCTAATAAAATTAAACTTAATCTCAGATATCCATAATTTTTAAAATAATACTTTTTAAGATAAAAGATAAAGTGTTTATTAAATGAGTTTTATATTTTTGAAAGAACATTTCATATCGTACTGAAGTTGCTTCAAAAGCTCCTGTAAACAATCTCAATTTAATTACGTAGGTAAAATGAGCATAAAAGTTTAGAAATTAAAAAAGTGACTTATCCTTTCACAAGTACATTGAAGAATTCTAGGGTAGAAACAGATTTTTATCACATAGTTTTTCTCCTACCAACCTTCATAAACTACATTTTATACATAAGAACTTTATTCAGTGAATTTTTTTTCACAAGATTTTATTTCATCTTATAAAAATAAATAAGTATATGTTCCCCAATTCCTCCTCATATAATTTAGTCATAAAAAAATTAAGGATTTTCTTCTTTTAAGATATAATCCAGTTGCCTAAAAATTCTGAAACAAATCCGTTAGGAGAGACCACTTCAATCCTTATTATACATTTTTGTAAATGGTCTACCAGTTCAACATATCAAATCCTTTCAATCTTTAACCAAGTCTTTTGATCGAAAGCAGGTGAAAATGCGAAATTGCGAGAATACTGAGATAAATTTACACGACTGGAAAATACAGAAAACTAGTATCAAATAAAAGATTTTTTTACTGCTTAAATTATATTTGATTAGATTTTATTATGTTCATTCACTTAAATAATTTCAGTGAAGACTTCAACATAGGAATCGATGAATCATTCCAACCAATACTTACAATTTCTATTTGTATTTTTGTACGACTAATTTCCTCATGATTGCTGCCGTCAAAAATGTTTTTTGTTGTTGCAGGATCAAGTATTGCACGAGCTTTTGCTTTCTTTTGTGTCTGAGCAGGCTGTTGTGCCGGCGGAATGGGGTTGGTGTAAGTTGACACGGACTGATAGGAACCTTTAAATAAAAAGAATAAAAATCATCAAATTACAATGTAAAAAATTATTTAAAAAAAAAAAAGAAGTAATGCACATCATACGTACCATTTGAATTAGCTTGCGGAGGATTATTGTATGGAGTATCCCATTGATTGTTAAGATAAACAGGCTGGCGAGTTGCTGCTGGGAATATTATGTTCCGAGGAGGATTAAATGGCCTCTGTTGATACTGAAAATAAACAGCAACGAAATGTAAAAATTTACATAAAGCATAAAATATGTTTTTTTTTTGTCTTCAAGTAAAATAAATAAAACACACAAATAAATAAAAACATTGATTACATTAATGATGTTTAAGAATTTTTGATACCAGGGATGCGATTTCAAGAAAGAAAAAACATGAAGTAAAAATGAATCTAAAAAGGAACTATGAGGACTATCTTGGTCAAGTAAATTTATTAACTATTATTTTCTTATATTATTTAACAATTGATATAATTTAACAAACATCAATTTATAATAGAGAATGACACGACCTCTTAACAAGGCTTAATAATAAATTGCCAACACCTGATCAAAATCTTTATCTATTAATGGATTTAAAGTTTCTTATAATAAATTTGAAAACATTTTGAGAAGTATATTATATTAGTGGTGTGCTTCCAAAAATTTTGTAAATATAACACGAAATCGAAAAATATTAATAAAAAAAAAAATAAAAAAACAGAAAAAATAAAAATAGGGAAATTTTTTATGAAGCTGCTTCATGCTTATGCTACATATCAATGGTTGAAACATTTATTAATAAGAATATTGCCATTATTTAAAAAAGCGGTGTACAGCTTTCGTGGGTAAGGAGACACTTGGATCGCAGGTTGATTAACAAAGGTATTTAGACATACAGACGGTAAATATGGTTATTATTATAAAGTATAGTGTTCTGTGCTCTAAATCCTTTTCATCAATCAGAAAATTACTATTCGACTTGATAAAAAAATAGAAAAAACTAACACTTCAAAAAAAAAAATTCTAAAATACAGATTTAGTAAAATAAATATAAACATTAGGTAAAAGTAATGGCTTTTTTATCACTTCATATAATGCAAAAGTTCATTTTAAAATAGATTCTGACAATAAAAATACTGCAATGCTCACAGAAAAATAATTAATCATTTTAAAGAGGAATATAAATTTAAATTAAATATTTTAATTAATAAAAATTTATAAGATTTAAAATGATCTAAATTAAAAACTTTATAGGGCAAAATAAGGTTCAATATGCAGCTGGAAATACACTTGTAATTAAGATATATTTAGTGAATTAAAGGTTTTACGAATTTTAAACAGAAAACGTTTTCTCCCAAAAACAACCACTAAAACTACATAAAATCACATGGAAAAATGCAGCAATAACTCCCAGAAAAAAAGAACACTTTATTTTATAAAGAAATCAGGAAGACTGAAGCACATCAAAACGTAATTAGTATTTAAATCTGCAATTCAATATTAATAATATTGTATTAAAATATTGGAAATTTTAAAACTACGTGGAAATGTATAGTAATAACTCCTAAAAAAAGATCTACACAATTTACAAGGAAATCGGCATAAATAAAGAGTGTCAGAAAGTGATTACTTATCAGTGTGATTCGAAATTGTAAGAAAAATACGGATTCTCAGACTCACGTGGAACAAGAAAAGAAAAAGAAACAACCATAAGCAAATTACTTAAATTTACAATAAAATTAGCACAGAGAAAGCGTGTTAAACCTTATTATTTGAATGCGTAATTCAACTTCGAGATTCATAATAATAATTTCGCTTTAAAAGTATCAGTCTTTTAAAACCATTTTGAAAGGCGTGTAATAACAGCCGATAAAAAAAACTTGGGATTTGCAATGAAATTGGCACAAAATAAGCAAATAAAAAAGTGATTACTCAAATTAGAAATTCGCTTATCGTAATATCGTATTAAAAATATTAAGATTTCTGAAACCATGGGGAATACTAAAGTAAAAATTCCGTAGCAATAACTGCTGAATATTCCATCGAAAAACAACGTAGTTTTATGATGGAATCTGCCCAAATTGAACGTGACGAAAACTGATAACTGAGCATGTTAAAATTTTATTTTTATTTCTCAAAAGAAAAAGATAATTTCTTCATTGCTCTCACGCGTCGCACATCAATAATTGACGGATCGAAACTTTTACACCCCAAAATATAGGTATATTATGAATGTAAATAGAAAATATTATAATAAATTTAAATAAAATCAAAATTAACGTTATATACTGACTCATCTGTTGGCTATTTAAAGTGCTCAGTAGTGGTCGGCCCCACTGCAGTTAATGAACGAGACCGCCGACACGCACATAGAATTTTCTGTGCTAACAGATGTTCGTGTCTGTTAGGACCGAGAAGCGAAATTTGTCTGTAATGAAATAAGGCAACAGAAGACCGACTCAAGCGCCTCTCCTGGGTTCGTAACCTTTTTGGTTAGACTCTAGACAACTAGAAAACTGTTGCTTGGTCAGATGAGCCACGCTTTCAGCTGATCAGAGCAGATGGGAAAGTTCGATCGAGTGTGGCATATGCCCCACTAAACCATGAACCCTAGTTGTCAACAAGGCATTATGCAATCTAGTTGTGGCGTAGATCGCTTTTTCATGACATGAACTGAATCCAATGGTCCGATTACACCGATCATTGACTGGAAATGTTTTGGTCACCGTAGATGGACCCAGGCCTATGAAGGCAGAGGAACCACCGGCCGCCCCCAGAAGCAATGTGTGTTGTCCGCGCACCTAGTGCCCAATTCTTCAACCCTACAGACGCACTAAAGCCCTTCTGTTTGGGCCTGCTGAAAGGGAAGATAACAGTAGACAGAAAAATAACAATGTAATGTATGAATGTATATAATTAAAATAAACTAGAATGCCTAAAACTTAGATAATGACATTACAACCATTGTATAAACTAGATTAATGGGTTGGAGTTAATTTATTAACAAATTAAAATTAAAGAAAAAGTTGGAGCTCCGATCCCTCCATCGATTGAGAGAGAGAGAGAGAGAAAAAAACTGGACCGGGAAACTTGGGAAGAGACTGTGAAAGTTTCGCTTTCCCACTGTAACTGGAAATAGTTATGTTCAGCTTAATGAGACCACTTGCAGCCATTCATGGATTTTATTTACCCAAGCAATGATGGAATTTTTATGGATGATAATGCGCCTTATCACCGGGCCTTAATTGTTTGCGACTGGTTTGAAACATTCGGGACAATTTCAGCGAATAATTTGACCTTCTAGATCACCCGACATGAATCCCATCGAACATTTATGGGCTATAATAGAGAGGTTAGTTTGTGCAGAAAATCCTGCACCTGTAACACTTTCTCAATTAGGGACATTTATGAGGCTACATGGCTAAATATTCCTGCAAGAGACTTCGAACTACTTGATGAGTCCTACGTTGAGTTTCTGCTCTTCGTAGAGTTCGAGAAAGTCCGACATAATATTAAGAGAAATTTCTTAACTTTTTGTCACCCCTCAGTGTATATATATTTTTTAAAAAGAAAAGTTCTATTCGATCTGATAACTTCGTAAATCCACGTATTTTTTCAAATTCTGAAATTTTTAATGTGACTTAATTAGAAAGCGTAAGAATTGAATCTGTTACTTTTAAACGAACACGAATTATTACAATGACAACCGATGTTGATTTCTAATGTTTTTTTTTCGACCAAAGGTTTTTTACGTTGAAATTTCGTTTCTCTGTGGATCCATGTCGTTTTCTAATAGTTTTTTCCCACTATTTACGTGAGTTTTCAAATTCAAATATTTTTAATATGATGTTATGATGACAAATGCATTTCGAATGTCCCTGATCACTCTTTGACAGACTCATATTATGACGATTTCCTTGTAAATCTGCATTGTATACCGAACACTATTTGGTTGAAAGTTCTTTTTTTTAGTTAAATTTTTGTATACTTAATAAAATATTATGACGTTTCAAATCTGAATTAGATTAATCAATTTTTGACGCACTTAATTTACGATTCCATCGTAATTGAGAGGTAGCGTCTAGACCGGAGATTTGCAAACTTTCTTGGACGAGAGCCAAAAATCGAAAAGGAAAAGTTTGTTAGGCCAGGTAAAAATTTCTAAAATAAGGAATTAATATACAAGTTTTAATTTAAATATTTTATGACATGAATGAAATTGCGATTACATTTTTAAAAGTTCCTTATATTGAGGCTCGAAGTGTGATGTACTTATTTTATGGCTAAATGCTTGTCTGTTAGTCTACTTCTGAAATTATTTCTTCTAAGGTTCATAGTTGAAAACACTTGTTCACATATATAAGATGAAACAAACATAGCACTGATTTTCTGGGCACGAGATATTAAATTTTGGAATCTAGATTTTGTTAATCCCAGGTAGTAAAAAGATATGATCTAATATTAGAAAGATGCAATATAATACTGCCGTGCTAGAAAGTGCAAGACTCTTGAATCCTATCTTCTAATATTAGAACTAATATTACATAAGATTAAATAGTATTCGATCTAACATTCGAACTTTCAAAATTATTATCTATTTCATTAGTTTTGGTACAGCGCCACATTTTTGCAAAAGGGTATCCCATATTATTAATAAATAAACATTTATTTATGAAAGAAAACAATAAATTAAATTTGACTTAAAATATCATTTTCAGCCAACGCAATCTTAAGGTCAGAAAGCACAATATAATATTAGCAGAAATAAGGTGAACTCGCGAGTTCAGTTGTTGACTTGTATAAGTTCTTCACGGTTGTTTACATTCTCCGCCATTGTTGGTGGTAGTCAGTGAGAAATAAATTTTTAACTTCAAAGGTATTTATGATTCAGTATTTTTTAGTAAACTTTATAAATTTCAATTTGTAAAACTAAAACTTTGGCATATTTAGAAACAATTGCTTCAGATGATTGTTAGATTGCAGCTCAATTAATTCAATGCTGCAAATCCGACATCACTGTTTCATAATTTATGTTGAAAGGCATGGTAAAAATATCTAAGTCTGTTTGAATGGCGCTGAAATCCTGAAAATGGAGTTTTTCAAGCCATATTCATAATTCTTATGCTTTTCCTTATTTGAGGGTATTGACTTTAACCTCGAGAAATGAGACAAGACGTTTTTAGTTACCACCCCCCAAACAAATTAAGCTTCAGCTTAAAAGCTTTGAGATGGGCCCACATATCATCGATCGATTTTTCCATTGCATCTTAACATTCAAGTTGTTCATGTGACAACAAAGATCTGTGAAAAATGCAGGCAATATTAAGGGCACTTTCAAATTTAAAAGTCTTTTCCGAAGCTCACGAAAAATATCACACCCCATTGTTTTTCCCTTTAAAGAACGCATGCACAACTGATATTTTGATTTTACTATTCACTTAGATATTTTGTTAATCAAATAATTAATTCAAAATTTTGCATAAATTATGCACACAAAATATTATAGTTATAAGCTTCAGACAAATAATCTTTACAAAAGTAATTAAATATTCATTAAATAAAATAAAAATAAACTTTAACCTGCTACAGCTCTTCCACAATATTACATGTGGTTGATTCTATTCATGTCTTAAGATTACTTTAAATAATTCACAAATGCAAAGTTGAGCACACAATGCAATCAGGAGAAGCAATTTACAAATTGTTCAAATTGCAAGAAGCATTATGTGATTTGTGAATATGAATAACAAACCATAGAGAGTTACTGCCTCAAATTAAAATTTTCAGTCTGTACTGGACCTGCCATCGACTGATGGTGTTGCTGAACTGTAGGCATTCCACCAGAGTTATACATTCCTGGTTGAGCAGCTGCAACCTACATGATATCATGAGATGGATTGTTTGGTACAGTGGACAATTGTGTAGCGAAATCGTATTGCTCGAAAAAAATGAAGCTCTTATGAGAAATAAATATAATAAAAAACTAAATAAGAAATAAATGTAATAGAAATAAATCTAATAAAAATTACCTATTCCACAAGGATAAAAATCTATCATAGTCAGCTCATCACTAGCAGATTGGTAATAACCATACAGTAAGCTTTAGGTGCAGTGGATAATTTCCTAAATTGCTAACTCGTTGAAAGATCTTATGTGTATTATGATGTTTAACAATGTTAAAAAGCTTTTTAAGGGAACATATCCCAAGTGAAATAAAAAAAATAATCTCACATCTATGTAATTTAAAAACAATTTTAAAAACAAACAGCGAAAATACAAATCAATTCAATAGTATATAAGGCATGTTAACTCAATTCTATGAAGGGGTACCTTTTCATAGAAGTAGGTTGACATTGACGACATTCTCGGTAAACTACTCTCAAGTTCAAGTTCAAAGACAATAGCGAGGAAAACTTTTTGCATGCATAATAATTTACTTTTGTTTCATTTAAAGTTGCAATGCTCTTCTACTTAGCAAATTAAAAATAATGTTACTAAATACCTATTTCCTTCTTAAATTATGAAAAATGTCCTTTATTTATTATTTAATAAAATTAAACTTAATCTTAGATATCCATAATTTTTCAAATAATACTTGTTAAGATAAAAGATAAAGTGTTTATTAAATGAGTTTTATATTTTTAAAAGAACATTTCATATCGTATTGAAGTTGCTTCAAAAGCTCCTGTAAACAATCTCAATTTAATTACGTAGGTAAAATGAGCATAAAAGTTTAGAAATTAAAAAAGTGACTTATCCTTTCACAGGTACATTGAAGAATTCTAGGGTAGAAACAGATTTTTATCGCATAGCTTTTCTCCTACCAACCTTCATAAACTACATTTTATACATAAGAACTTTATGCAGTGAATTTTTTTTCACAAGATTTTAATTCATCTTATAAAAATAAATAAGTATATGTTCCCCAATTCCTCCTCATATAATTTAGTCATAAAAAAATTAAGGATTTTCTTCTTTTAAGATATAATCTAAAAATTCTGAAACAAATCCGATAGGAGAGACCACTTCAATCCTTATTATACATTTTTGTGGATGGTCTACCAGTTCAACATATCAAATCCTTGCCATCTTTAACCAAGTCTTTTGATCGAAAGCAGGTGAAAATGCGAAATTGCGAGAATGCTCAGATAAATTTATACGTCTGGAAAATACAGAAAACCAGTATCAAATAAAAGATTTTTTTACTGCTTAAATTATATTTGATTAGATTTTATCATGTTCATTCACTTAAATAATTTCAGTGAAGACTCCAACATAGGAATCGATGAATCATTCCAACCATTACTTACAATTTCTTTTTCTGGTGTTGAACGAGAACTATCCTCATTATAGCTGCCGTCAAAAATGTTTTTCCCTGTTGCAGGATCAATTATTGCTAGAGCTTTTGTTTTCTTTTGCGTCTGCTGAGCAGGCTGCTGAGAAATTTGTTGTGCAGGCTGAATGGGGTTGGTGTAAGTTGGCAGGGACTGATAGAAACCTTTAAGTAAAAAGAATAAAAATTATCCAATTACAATGTAAAAAAACATTTTAAGTAAAAGAAAGAAATAATGTACATCATACCACTTGAATTGGCTTGTGGAGGATTATGGTATGGAGTACCCCATTGATTATTAAGATAAACAGGCTGGTTAGTTGCTGTTGGGAATATTATGTCCTGAGGAGAACTAAATGGCCTCTGTTGATACTGAAAATAAATAACGAAATGCAAAAATTTACATAAAACACAAAGTAAAGTTTTTTTTCTTCAAGTAAAATAAATAAAACACACGAATAAATAAAAACATTTATTACATTAATGATGTTTAAGAATTTTTGATACCAGGGATGCTATTTCAAGAAAGAAAAAACATGAAGTAAAAATGAGTCTAAAAAGGAACTATGACGACTATCTTGGTCAAGTAAATTTATTAACTATTATTTTCTTATATTATTTAACAATTGATATAATTTAACAAACATCAATTTATAATAGAGAATGACAAGACTTCTTAATAAGGCTTAATAATAAATTGCCAACACCTGACCAAAATCTTTATCTATTAATGGATTTAAAGTTTCTTGTAATAAATTTGAAAACATTTTGAGAAGTATATTATAGAAAATTTTCAGTGGTGTGCTTCCAAAAATTTTGTAAATATAACACGAAATCGAAAAATATTAATAAAAAAAAACAGAAATAGTGAAAATAGGGAAATTTTTTATGAAGTTGCTTTATGCTTATGCTACATATCAGTAGTTGAAACATTTATTATTAAAAATATTGACATTATTTAAAAAAGCAGTGCACAGCTTTCTTGGGTGAGGAGAAACTTTCATCGCAGGGTGATTAACAAAGGTATTTAGACATAAGGACGGTAAATATGGTTATTATTATATAGTATAGTGTTCTGTGCTCTAAATCCTTTTCATCAATCAATTTAGGTCAGAAAATTCCTATTTGACTTGATTAAAAAAATAGAAAAAACTAATACTTTAAAAAAAGAAATTCCAAAATACAGATTTAGTAAAATAAATATAAACATTAGGTAAAAGTAATTTCTTTTTTATTACTTCATATAATACAAAAGCTCATTTTAAAATAGATTCTGACAATAAAAATACTTCAATGCTCATAGAAAAATAATTAATCATTTTAAAGTGGAATATAAATTTAAATTAAATATTTCAATTAATAAAAGTTTTTATTATTCATTCGTTAGTGCAATTTTTAAAAGGACATAATAGGAAGAAAACTTGGTCCAATGCTCCAGAATCGAAACAATTGAAATAGAACGAGAATACAGAAAATTCCTTCTTCAAAGCAGAACAAACGATTGTGCAAGCAACTTTGTTAATGCGTTCCATTCCTGTGTGCACAAGTAAATCTGGCTCTTTAAGGTGGTTGAGAGGGAGGGGTGGGAAACATTTTCTTTTCATTCAAAGAAATTATACAATATTCATCAGAGAGGGTCAACTTATGACTGAATCTTTTTCGAATCATTTTGTGAAAGCAAATATAGTTAAGGCGAGCATAGAAAAAAAGGTCAAAATTTTTGACATAAACTTACATTCTTAATTTTGGAATTGCTTTTTTTTTTGTTCTTTTTATTTTGTTTTGTGCTATACGAATCGTAAATATTTGATGCCAAATTTATTTAAAACGCATTATGTATAAATTGTAAATAATTGTTAATAATATCTGTTAAATGTGAAAAATTCATCAAGATAATCATTTAGTTTCAATCCTATGTCTAATTCTAATTCTCCATTATGAATAACAGTCTAAGAGACGCGTTTGGATTGTTGTTTCGTAGACGTTTCTTAAGGCTCTTATTCTCATGACGTCTATTATAGTTATCTATGAGACGTCTTTACTTAAGCCATTGTGAATTATCCATAAATAAGCTATAGGAAAACGTCTAGTATAAGCCGATACTTCATACACGACGTCTAATGGATTATATAGACGAATTCTGAACGTCTAATGGATGAGTCTAAAATGTAAATGTCTGTACTCTGTTGCAAATTAAGAAAAAAGCCATTATACCCATGGAGAGAGTCTGCTGGCATCTAGTGCATGCCAAGCTCTAAACCTGATCAAATATCAACATCGCCAACTTTTGAAACAATGTTGCACAACCTTTTTTTGCTTTCTTTCTTAAATCGTGTGAAATGAAAAAAAATTATTGAATAATCAATTAGCCATAAATAAGAATTAATAAAAATGATATCAAAATATCGTACCAAATATATGCCTTTCTGTTCGCATTTAAAGTAATAATAAATATTTAATAATATACATTGTTTCTCGCTGACGATTTTCTTCTACAGCGAAACAAAAGTAAAAGTTATTTATCTCGCTTTTTATTAATTAAGTGCATTTCAGGCTAAGACGTGCCACTTTTAGTAGTCCAATCAAACCCAATGTTCTTGCAACGTCATATAGTTGTTTCTTTTTCAAGAACGAATATTTTCCTTATTTATCGAATTATGTCGCCAAGCCTAGGATTCCAGAAAGGCAGTGAAACTATAACCTTTTTTCAATAATTCTATGATATATATATATATATATATATAGACATAATAGAGAAATAGCTAACATGCACCCATTTTCGTTACGCGAAACGGAAAAACTTCTAAATTAATATAAATGAAGGAACTCATTATTTATTATTTAAAAAGCTTATATTACATTACGTAAGAAAAGAAATTATTT